TCTACAACGGACCATCTGCGTTTGTCATCCTTCTTTGCTATTGCCATCTCCTTGCCTTTGTGTCCACCTTTTTAGTTGTACGGTCGATTGGCACTCACACCTCTTGACCCACTGCAACAAATCCATCTCTTTTTCCTTCCCCCAGCTATGGGTAAATAGCAGGACAGACTTGGGTGGCAACCAGTCTCGGAAAGGAAAGCTGTATGGAAGCCCTATCAAAGCACATACTATGCAGCTATCATTGATTCGATGATCCCGACTATAGTCGACAGCTTAAATAAATAAATAACTTTTTTTTTTAAATAAATAGCTATTTTTTGTAAATAAAAAATAAATAGCTATTTTTTGTAAATAAAAAATAAATTAAAAATAGTTATCTATTTCCTCTCTATGTCGACAGGTTCATATAATTAGAGATTATGTCCAAAACAAACGGTTTCGCTAAACAATAACATCGGAATTCATCGATACAGTGAAACAAACGGTTATTGAACTTAGGCCCGTTGCCAAAATCTTTTGAGTGGAAGAGCAGCATTCAAATCAGAGGGATGGCAAGCTGAAGTGGTTTTATGCTAAAGCATTTATATGAATTTCAGACACTTAATTTTGGGGAACAATGACTGGTCCTCAGATTGAAAAAAATATCATAAATAAAGAGGAACCTTTTCTTTGTTATGATTTGCAATAAAGATTTATTTTCTTGACCAATATATGCGATGGAAATTGAAATAGTATCAATCGCAGGAAATGTATTCGATGAATGGTTTTATATTGTACCATAATTAGATCAAATTATTTTCACGAGGGCGGGTAACAAATGATATTCTTGGGTGGTGGAGAATAACTTTCCTATTACCCCTTGAGGTAGATCTGCTTGAAACAAAAGTTAATATTTGCCAAACAACTGAATAAACTTTGTTTTAATTAACGGCAATGAACTATAGACGTTTACAGAAATAAGCTACCTTGTTATAATTAGCATAATTACATTTTTTTTTTGTATTTCGCTCTCAGCATTTCGGATAATCGGTGTTAATATGAGGAAAATAGCCTTTGCAATCACCTCCGCCCTCAAATCCAATATATTAATAGAATTTTTTTCTTTCTCTTTTTTTGTCTGCATATCTGTTTTATTTCTCACGCCAAATAGAGCAATTTCAATCATTTATTCCGAGTGAGTCTTGAGATATGTCACTGGCGTGCAGCTTTTTTTTCTTTTTTTTTTTTTTTTTTTTTTTAGCGGTGAGACATTAATGAAGCAAGGGGATAAATTTAGAAATAAGCTCATAACTCTACCATTTGCTTACATCTCTGCGCATTTGGGCTTTCTCTCGACTCTTATTTGTCCTGTTTGTTTATGTTGTGTGTAATAACTATGAAAATTCTCCTGCCTCTACCCTTCGGCAATGTTCGAACCTGCATTCAATTTTGTAGGATGAACCACCTTCTCATCCGGCGTGCAATATACTATTTGGCCGAATGCACATCGATTCGTTCATGTCTAACTAATATTACTACTAATAATCTCTCTCTCTCTCTCTCTCTCTCTCTCTCTCTCTGTATATATATATATATATATATATATATATATATATATATATATATATATATACATAAATTAATTAAATAATTAAGAAAGAGACAAACTTAAGGTTCCATGAATATAATTTATTTCCCAGAAAATATATTTTTCCTGATTCATCAGGTCACACACACACACACACACACACACACACACACATATATATATATATATATATATCTGTGTGTCATAGCTTAAAAGTCGCTCTGTCGGGCGGCATTTAAGCTAGACCCAGCGGAGGGGTCATGATTGGGCCTTCGGTTTGTTCTTTGCATATTCTCAGCATTGGAAGCTCTTCTGGCTGCCATTTGATTTTTTTTTTTCACGGGACTTTTCTTTCCTTGTTGCATACGTGGCTTTTTTGATTGCAGTGTGGTCCTCTGTTGACAGAGATTTCTTTTTGAGAGGCATACTGCTATCGTATGTGATAGACAACAATAAACTACAGAAGAGCTCAAAATTGATCTCTGCATTTAAGCATTGTATTAATATTTAAACTTACCTTTTAAAAGTTCAACGATACTTCTTCTCTCGTCGCTTAATTTAAAGACAATTTGATGTACGTAGGCCCTTACTTTCAGTACAAACAATTATTTTTATTTCATGGGTGACTTTCACTAGATTTCACAATTAATTTCTATTATTCTCAAATTTATTTCCCAGTTATAAAAAATGTTATCGCACAAAAAAATTCGTAGCAAAAAAAAATCATGTAAAAAATCGCCGAAAACAATTTCAGTAATGAAAACTTGGGAATTCACAATTTCTGTAGCATGAGCTATTGAAAGTTAGAGAGTTATGTCCCTTTAATTGAAAAGTGTGATACAGTGATACACTAACATTCGCATTATATATATATATATATATATATATATATATATATATATATATATATATTATAAATTAATTGATTTAAAATATGTTTTTTCGCTACAAATTTCTAACCATGTTTCCAAAATGGAAGTTAAAAGCCACGAATTTAATTTTATATATATATATATATATATATATATATATATATATATATATATATATATATATATATATATATGATGAAATGTGGATGTGTAGGTGGTATAATGGTTTGCGGTTTGGAGTGAGAAATCGTAAAAGCGGAATTCAATTTCGGTCGAGTTTGTTATATCCACTTTCGCACAAAAACACTTGTGAGCGCTATAAATCTTCTCACTCTAACTTAAATAGCAGGGCAGACTGGATTGACAAGCACTCTAGAAGGAAAAGTTTGAATCCAAAACCCGAGCAAGGCTGTTTTGAAACAGGTCGTGCACAAGCCTACACCACGATAATCCAATCTTTATGTGTAGGTAGTTTAGCCGGTCAGTTCTAAGAACTGAATTGTTAGGCCGTCATAAGTCGTAATCAGCGGGAGAGTCCTAATCTGAAAATAACGTCATCTAATGTTCTTTTATAGTCCTGCTTGAATATAATTTTCATGCTCTAAAAGCATAATAAATATAAAAAATAACAATTCAAAGTGCTCAATCGCAAAATAAAGAATATATATATATATATATATATATATATATATATATATATATATATATATATATATATATAATGATTTCACCCCAAAAAAGCGATAATACCACTAAGACGCAAGGTTACTGAGAGTGAAACAAAATGAGAAGACTTTAGAGGAAGAAACCGGAAACTAAGCAGGAAACAAGTGATAAATCTACCTCTACTCCTGTTCAAACGACGAAGGCGTATGAACCGGGCGACAGGCGAACCTATCTACTCCTATTATATATATATATATATATATATATATATATATATATATATATATATAAAAACTTTCTTGAATACTACTCGCAGACTTTGAATTATGGCATTTTTTATCTTCCACGTGTTTTAACGGACCTTTCAACCACGCGATGAATATTCATAAACATTCCCAAATTTAAAAGGCTTGATAAACCAATGGTATCCTTGATCCTGTATATGAACATGTGCAACAAAGTAAATCGTACATTTACCTTGATAAAGTTCTTCAGAGGACGAAATGCGTCGACTAAGAATAAGTTTTTCCTCTTATCTTTTTATTAATTTGTTTCATTTACATTCTACCTGAAAACAATTTACCCCCACCTATATATATATATATATATATATATATATATATATATATATATATATATATATGGCACAAAATCTTTTCTCTCTCTCTCTATATATATATATATATAGAGAGAGAGAGAGAGAGAAATATGCCCGTTAAGCTGTAATTTAGCGAAACTTTAGTCATACACCAACACGTAGGCACTAGTATATGTAGTAATTTATATATATATGTATACATACATACATACATATATATATATATATATATATATATATATATATATATATATATATATATATATATATTATTCATGCACACATTATTCTAGATTGGTGCATGAAGAGAATGTAGTAGATAAAAACGAAGATTGATTTATTAGATAACAGATGGACCAATTGATTGATTGAATGATCGATCGATCGATATCCAGCAGCTGTTTGTATAATTTTTAAGTTCAAGGAAGAAGAAACCTGTCCACTTTGTTTTAGGTCGTTTGTATAATGTCGCGTAAAACAATCCGCTTTAGAAAGTATTGGACGCCTTCAGGCGAAAGAACAGAATTAAAATTTCAGCGTAAACTAATATATTACTTGTTACACAGCAGACTGGATACATAAATGTCTAAAACAAATCTATTTTCATATATATGAAGGAATATCAGCAACTCCGTTGTCTGAAACATAGATGAATTTTGATCTGAAATTTTCGCTGTATGATATTCGATCTACATGATTAATGTTCGTCAATGAATTAAAAGCATTCGACAGTTTTTGATATTAAAATCTTTCAACAAACTTTTGAATCTGCTTTTCATTAGAGAAGGTTTTCCCCATTAGATCGTTTTGCAGCGATCAAAACATCGCTCAGGTGAATATGGCAGATGAGGCTAGTTCCAACCGAGTTTCCATTTTTTTTTTCTTATTTGTTATCCTTACTGTATGCAGCCTCGTGTTTTCATAGAAAAAAAAACAACATTTTCCCTATTGACAAGCGCGTGATGTTTTTTTTTTTTCCTTTTTTTTTTTATAGACACGTTGCAGTTGCTGGACGTATCAATGTGCAGTTGGTGTTTCACTGTGTTTGAAGGTCTCTAAATTCATAATACCCCAGCAATCCCACCACACACACACACAACATTACGTTTCTGCAAAGAAGCAGAACTGTTGAGATCAGTTGTGGAGATTTGCCCTTGTCAATCAATCCACTTTCTTTTGCGTTAAATAATATCATATATAACCGATTTTTAATCACGCGTTATGGTATATTTAAGGTGCGTTTAGTTAGGACGATACATTCGTCATTGCAATTGGTTCCCCAAAACGGAAATTACTTATGATTCAACCTAATCTATCTATCTATCTATCTATCTATCTATCTATCTATCTATCTATCCCAGTCTGTTTATATCTGTCTATCATGTCAGTCTGTTCATATCTATCTATCTATCTATCTATCTATCTATCTATCTATCTATCTATCTATCTATCTGTTAGTGGACACCATTGAACTGCCACGTATGATTAGTAGTTAGAACGATATATTCGTCATTGCAATTGGCTCTCCAAAACGGAAATTACTTATGACTCAACCTAATATTTCAATGAAATTTTTACATGAATCGCTCATCTTTTTTTCTTCTTCTTCTTTTCCCAGAGACCAACACAGTTTATTTGACTCAGCTGAGAATCTGACAATACAACCACGAAATTGACATCCTCATATATCGATGGTTGGACAAGTAAGTGTTTCGAGTAAGTGTTTCAGTAGAATGACGTCCCTGGAACTACCACCTATAAAATCCCTACCCAAGAAGGACCCGAAATGTCTAACAAAAAATCGAACAACCAGTTTTCATCAAAACGCACTTAATCGGTCTTTGGAATTCTCTGATGGTTTTTGCAATCGCCATAGCCTAACATCATCTTCATCTGGCTGTTCCAACCAAAATCCCCTTAGTCGATGCCAGAAATGCAGTTCAGAGATCAAACCTTCTAATCCCGAAACCAACCCTAGAAGTATGCAACAACCAGAAACTCAAAGAGGAATCATGAGACGGGAAATGACATGGCATAGCGGGGCAGCCAACAAATCCCTAATTCACAGTAACAGTACCTCCAGCGTTGTGACTAATGCGGCCGTTGCGTCTTCACCTCGTTTAAAACCTCTTCGATCAAACAACACCTCAGCTAGAACATCCACATCGGGGGAAAAACTAACCATGGAGTCTGGAAGTAGCCAAACAGACGGTAGCATTGCAAAGGTGAATAGCTATAACTCACTGAGCAGTCTTAAGGACCGATTACCGGGTAACCGAGCATCACGACTGAGCGTTCCTCATTCATCGGCAGTCGGTACTAATAGTGCTGTTGTTGCAAGGAGAAGTTTGAGTCAAACCCGACCCGGCAGTAGTCAAGTCACGGGACGGAGACTTTACACTGCGGACAAAAACAATAACAGCCGTAATATTGTAAACAAAAGCATAATCTCGCGTAACCAAAGAAATGAAATGGACACAAATTACGCAAGGGACACGGAACAGAGGATTATTAGTTGGCTGATTGGGGTGAAAGACAGCGAACCCGAAGAACCATTAGCACCATTCTTTGAATATGTGGATCTACCACCGCAAACAGATACGGCAGTACATATTGTATACAAAGGAGATTGATTTTTACAAGTAAGACTCTTTGTAATTTCACGTTGGCATTTCTTTTATTTATTTTGTACATTCATATAAAACAATCTTTGAACCTTCATAAAGAAGTTTTTCCTAATTTGTTTAAAAATAATAAACAACTAAAATAACACTCAATGGCATCTAATTCAGTCACGTTCTATTTGCTTAAATCATATTCATGTTTGTATGGCTCAGTAATGTTCACATGGTTCATGTTCATGTGGTTTGTGTAATTCATGTTCATAGGATTCATGTTTATATGGTTCATGTTCATGTGGTTTATGTAATTCATGTTCATAGGATTCATGTTTATATGTTTCATGTTCATGTGGTTTATGTAATTCATGTTCATAGGATTCATGTTTATATGGTTCATGTTCATGTGGTTTATGTAATTCATGTTCATAGGATTCATGTTTATATGGTTCATGTGGTTAATATAATTTGTATTCATGTTATTCATGTTTATATAATCCATGTTCTTCATATTCTTATGATTCATGTTCATGTTGTCCGTGATCATGTGGTTCATGTTGATATGATTCATGTTCATGTGGTTCATATAGATCATGCTCATGTGGTTCATGCTATTCATGTTCATTTGGTTCATGTTCATGTGTTTCATGTTCATATGATTCATGTTCATGTTGTTTATGTCCATATGTTACATGTTGTTCCTGTTCATGTGTTTCATGTTCATATGATTCATCTCCATGTGATTCATGTTCATTGTTCATGTTATTCATGTTCATGTGGTCATATTCTTCATGTTCAAGTTCATGTAGCTCATATTCATGTGGTTCATGTTCCTACGATTCAGTTATGCTCTATTTTGTTCATTCATATTCATAATATTCATATTCATATGGTTCACGTTTATATAGCTCAGTCATGCCCATATGGTTCAGTCCTGTCTTTATACTCCTATGGGTTAGTCATATTCATAATATGTATGCCTATAAAGTTCAGTCATGTTCATATGGCTCAATCATGTTCATATCTTTCATATTCATGCATTATGTTCAATTAACTTCAGTCATATTCATATAGTTATGTTTTGACTCATGTTCAATTATGCTATGTTTGGATCATTCATGTTCATAATAGTAATATTCATGTTCATATGGTTCTGTCATGTATATATTGTACATTTATATTTGGTTAAGTAATGTTCAAGAGCCATTTTCTTTAGATCTGAAATTCTTGCAGAAAATAGTGGTGTAGTTTCCAGCTGGTTCTTCTTCATGATGTGGATCTCAGAAAGTTCCTTTCCTTAGGCTGGTTTCCACCAAGACTAGAGAACCTAGTCTACGCTGTTGTTTAACCCGTAGCTTGATGGAAAAGAGACAGATTCGTGTCTTTCCCAAAGGCATTAGCGCAAAAATGAACGCAACTGACTTGCCCATTCCGCTTTTTTTGCGTCAATATGCGTTATGCTATCCTCGCGTCACGCTAGATTAAAGAAGTCTAATAGCGATCACAATACTTGGACCGTGGATAGCAAATGATACAAAATTTCGATTCTAAATCAATATTTCGTGTCGGTAAGTCTCTGTAACATCTGAATGCGACAAGAGGGGAACAACAATATGAATGCAACCCAGCCAATAAAAAAATCAATCATTGGAATGCCTTCACATGAATATCGATCAGGACCAATATGTTTTCAGTTACGTGATATGAAAGAAAATAATAGACGATCAATCACTTTTTTTAAACTTTATATACCGACGTTGGCGATTATGGTTGTCTACAAATCTTAGATTTTAGATTCTCGTTTAGAGAAATTACAAGATATAATGAAATATAAGTGAGACTAGTACTAATTTATTACTATTTTTTCCGTGGCCAAAGTGGTTGAAGCGATTTCCATGAAAACAGGCACAGTTTAAGAATCGTCGTTCTTGGTTTGCGATTTCATGCATTTTGATAAAACACTAAAGTGTAGCAATAAAAAGCAAAGATAATAAGATGAACTAAGATTAGTAATAAAATAATAATAGTGAAATGTTTCAAGAATAATAAGGGGTAAAACTGGAAATATACTAATAATGGTACTGATAATATTAGGTGTTTCCTTATAAGGAAACGTTCAACATTCATTGACCGAGTAAACAGTGTTATATTTAGTAGTTGAAATTTATAAAATCTTTCTTTTAAAACAATTTTTTCAGGAAAATAGAATTTTCAAGTCCAGTAATTGTTATCGCTTTTTCCATCATTGATGGCGGCTTTCGTGCAAACATATTGTTTGAAATAGTGTGAAACATCAACATCTTGATTATGTTATTATTTTTTCTTCGATTTACATGCGCTATTCAAGGTGGTCAGACGAAATGAATGAAAAAAGAAATTGTATCTCTGTTTCAGTTTCTCGTTCTCGTTCCAAACAATATTCCGAATGCAAGTACAGTAAATTTAGTAGATGTCTATAAAGGACACTTGTTTTAAGAGCAATGCTTCGTAAGCACGTCTGGCAGACCATTAGCTA